GACACCTGTAGCATCATCAATCGCGTAAATATCGGTACTCGTCAGAAACTTTGCACGACATCCCGAGACCGTGACAAAAGCCGCCGAACAAAGCGGTGACGCGTCAAACAATGATGGCCGCTCTTGTTGACAATAGGTGAGCGCGCTGTGGACATCACACCGACAATAGTGAGCGGGTGTCAAGTGTGTCCGCGCACTTGCTGCTCTAACTGCGTGTGACATTAGTGTCTTCTGAACCCTGCCGGTGTGTGTGTCAGGTACGATCACATGGTCCACTACGGTATATATAGTGGCCCCGTAGTCAAACTCGAGCATGAAATCCACGTTCGGCATTACATTTACTAGCTATTCTCACGAGGGTACGATTGCTTCACGATGACGTTTTATGTTCGAGTTAGTGTTTCTATTTTCGTGTTCCTCGCCGCATGCGTCATGCCGATGATCCGAGGAGAGGACATGCACAAGTATGTGGGACTCGCCAGGTGCCGTGCTGACTGCGTCGATAAACTGGTATGTGCTTCCTTATATATATTTATTTATTTATTTATTTATGTAATTATTTATTCATTTAATTATTTATATATATTTATATATCCTTTCCCACAGGTTTGCGTGGACAATCTATTATTAAAAATCTGACAACATATTGCATTATTTATATATATGATCTGTTTCGGGTGCGTCACAGTATGAGATTTCTGAGCGCGGCCCGGGTCAGGAAAATAATTGTGATTATCTTTTTATCGTGGCTTTTTCAGTTTACAAAAATTACTTTGGCAATGTATCGTGATCATGACATAGGGAATGGTAGATCCACGTAGGAAATAGTACAACTGCATAGGAAATAGTACACCCATGTAGGAAATAGTACAACTGCAGTGTCAGCTCTATATTTAAACAAAAGATTACATTCGCCGAACATTTCAATTATATTCACGTTCTAGACTTTAACGATATAATCACTAAGAACAGTTTTGTACCATCTCTGATTCGAACGATGTAGCTGTTGCTGGAGTTATTGCGCGTGAATCGAGAATTAGACTTCAAAATGTTTGTTGGAGAAAGTATGACATCCTCTTCATCTTCGTCATTACTGCAATGGTAATTTATTACACATATTATGCACGTTGTTTGGACGACATCATTCACAAAGACTATTTGATAGTTTTATATCATGGTCTTTCATCACGTGTATTAATTGTAATCTGTCACTTAACTCTATTATGTATTTTTTTTAATAATGCTTACATTCAATTACTTCTAATCTTGTGCCCGGTGATTAGAGGAATTCAATTTGAATAGCCACACAGTTCTGCTGCTGCCCTGCCATGGGTTCTTCTACGTACCCCAAGTGAGGTACTCTTCTTCTCTTAATGGCATTCTTTCTCACTAGAGGGCTCTGCAGTTTGGTCGTCTTGTACTGCTTCCAGATAACGAACGCAGTAAAGGCCACGGCTATGCAGATGCCAACACAGCAGGCAATGGTGATAATCGTGAGATTGCTGCTGCTACCTCCAACTGCTACTGAAAAGTAATAAAGTCGAAAAAGTTGTCAATAAAGCCGACGTGTAAAAATATATAGCTAAATTCAGGTGTTAATAAAACTGATGGAGAAATCCGCTTCATACGTCTTTTCATTTACTAACGCATACAGATCTATTATATTCCGTGTAAACGCTAGTAGCTATTTACCGCTCTCTGCTGCGTGTAGTGATTCGGATTCTCTCTGAATGGCTTCCTTGAGTTCTTCGTCGTGACAAAATGTAAGCGTCTCGTCGGGATTATAGCAACCTGAAACAATAAAACGTCTGCTCGATCAGAAACCATATAGTCAGCATTAAAAGCTCATTCTTGATGTGTCACACCTATAATCATCAACATACAGAAGCTTGCTGCCATGGAATGCACAAGGGTAACGCTGTTGAGTACATTTCATATTACTCAGTTTATATGGGCTTGCTATCAATTTCCTTTAGTGGCTTGGTAAGTACATTGTAAATTAACAAATGGCAACGTTATATAATACCTGGAGTTGTGAATCTCGCTGTGTTGATGTACCCATTGGTGCTGAGTTCAACGTATTCCGAGTTGTATGTCAGTCCAAGTAGCTTCACCTCATCCTTACAATAATAGAAAAATAGTTAGGAAAGTTATAGTTATGTCATTTCACACGCACTTTTCCACTGCACGCTTTTTCATTTATACATTGCATGGTCAATCTAGCACGTTGCCCATGTTTAAAATGGAACATTTGAAAATAATTTTCTTGAGATTAGCTTTGACATAGACGATGTTCATGCACTTACATCTTTCTCGCTGGCACGATGAGAAACTTGAGCTGATGTTCCTCAGCTACACACACAGGATAGGCGCTGTCTTTGTTGCAGCTCGTTCTTTTCCAGGCTATCGAGTATCCTGCACAGAAAGTGAATAACTATATGTATACATAGTTAACCATGTTTTGTGAAACAATCAGTAAATACGTAACATGTATTGATGACATTAACATACAATATACGTTCGATAATGCGTGGATGGGCGCACGTACCTATGTCACCGGTTGCGTCGTATCTGTCTTGTGTTTCCATGTCACTGTGGCATCGAGTCGTGCGTCCCTCGTTGCCACAGCAACAGATATGTCGAGCAGCAGCACTTGCTCGTCTGCTGGGTACTGGCTGCCCGTTACAGAGAGATGCCCTTCGAGTCGACGGCCATGATCTGCAGCTGAAACTTCTCGGGGAATTTGATCTTCTGTAGCCGGTGGTTC